CCCACCCCACCCCCACCCCCCGTTGCTCTGAGAAACCAAATCAGAAGGAAAAGCCAGCTCTTGGGGTCCTGCCAGCAGGAAGCAGCCTCCAGCTCCTTGACCAGATGCACTGTAGCCTCTGCCTAAGGGCGGCCGGCCTGGGCCTGCGTGGCGGGTGGAGACCACAGGCACCTCCGCGGGGCCTGTGTGATGGAGACGCAGGCTCTGGAGCGGTACCTAAGGACCCTGATTAGAAGCTCTTTGGACCAAACCTGTTTTCCTCTCTTCTCTCCCCCAGCTCCCAGGGGGACACAGTTGATATTATTAGCTTCCACATACAGGTTCAAGAGTATGCTTTGGCTCCTCGTTAAAATCTGTATGTATGTAATATGATTGCAGGTATTTAAATGTGTGTGGAAAAGAGAAATAGAAGGAAACACATTTAGATGGCATTTGACAATTTTTTTTTCTTCTCCATCCCTGTCTTTTCCTAATTGTGCACAATAAGCATTTATTACATTTATAATTTGAAAAATATAACACAATGCACAGAAAGTAAAGAGTTTCTGTACAATGCCCTGGCTGTGCTCCCTCTATTTCAACTGAACAAAGAGCTACACTCTTTTCTGGGAATCCGTATCCCATTTTTAAAAAAAAATGTAGTTTTATTGATTTCAGAGAGGAAGGGAGAAGGAGAGATAGAAACATCAATGATGAGAGAGAATCGTTGATGGGCTGCCTCCTGCACACCCCCTACTGGGGATTGAACCCACAACCCAGGTGTGTGCCCTTGACTGGAATCGAACCTGGGACTCTTCAGTCTGCAGGCCGATGCTCTATCCATTGAGCCACACCAGCCAGGGCAATATTCCATTCTTTAAATCTCCCAGTGGAAGGGGCAATGGGCCCCAAATAGGCATCAGGGCAAGAAGGGTCAGTGGGGGAGGAAGTTCCTGGGATGTGAGATAACAGGCAGACTGTCACTCACACACCTGGGTGACTACAGAGGGGAGTGTGTGCTCTCTAGCCTCTTCCCACAACAGGCGTCTGATGCCCAGGGGTTGGTGCCAAGGGGCTTACATGTGCCGCTCGCCCGCCCACACGTGCCGCCCGCTCGCCCACACGTGCCTCGCCCCCCGCTCCGCCCCAAGGGGCCACTCACATCCTGGAATCTCTTCTCCAGGGTCAGGCGGATGTTGGTCTCAATGCTGGTGCGTTTCTTCCTCTTCCTCCCGAACACTTCGGTGAAGGCGGGGCCGGCGCTGGGGGTGCTCACCGAGGGGTCCGCCGGGGAGGCTTCTGCGGGAGGGAGAGGAGGCCGAGCGGACTGAGGTCCAGCGCCTGTCCTGGCTCTGGCCCAGGAAGGTAAAGTAAAGAGGGACTGGTGAGAGGGGATGACTGAGGGTTA